ACATCCGCACATTACGTATTACTTATTTCCATTTTTAATCTATTTTGATTTTTTATTAAATGTGAGCAATATATGAAAAATTAATTATACCATCATATTTTAAACTTAACAAGAGTAAAATAAGAAAAAATTGTATTTAAAGTACATATAAAAATATTATTCTAATATTTAATTTTTAGACCACAATAATTGACGTTTAATTTTCTTACCTAGTTAATGTATTCGTATAAGTAGTTCTGTTCTAAACCTTAGTATTGAAATAAATAATAATAATAAGATAAAAATACCGTCAAAGTATATGCCTCTTTTAGCGTTATTAAATCGCACAAAATATTCTACATCGGATTTTATATTACGTTTATATATATAATTATATGTATATATAATATAATTCTTCCGTGACTAATCAAATTTTAATTATTAAGCTATAATGCGAAATGTGGTTGCATGCACAGCTATTTTATGCTTTGATTGATACATTATGCTTTTGAAGCTAAACGCAAGCGTTAAAATAATTCAAATCATTTTTACGTATGTCGTGATTTTTTTATATAGATAAAATTAACGATTTTATGTATTGATTTCACATAATATACATATATATTATTTAAATATGGTAAATATAAATTTATCATAAATTACATTTAAAAGAACAGAAGAAATAAACTCTAAAGAAGGGTAAGAAAATTTGACGAGAGATGATTATTATAACATTTTATAATATTAGAATTAAATTTTATTCACATATGTATGTTTCTTCTTAAGTAAGTTAATTATTAATTTAATTCGTGATAGTACTGCGGTAGTTTTTATATGGAAGAGTTACTTTTACAATTACTTTTACAGTTACTTTTTATAACAATGTGGTAACATGTAAAAGTAACTGTAAAAGTAACTTTTTCATTCCTTGATTATAAATTATATAAAGGAATAGAGTAACCTCTAAAAAGGCATAAAAAAATTTACTGAAAATCTATAACAATTTTTAAAAATTATAAGATTTGAATTTTAATTATATGTTATATACATCTTTCTTTTTAAGTATTTTCAAAATGTGCTTTTCTGCGTTTATATTGCCGTGTATTTTTCACTTTGTAATAGTACGTTATATTTTCCAAAATGAGTATTACAAATGATATTAGGATCCCGCAATAGAGTATTAGAAAAATCAAATAAACTTGGTGGACATCAATCGGATTGAATATTTCTTGATCTGTATCTTCCAGTCTGATATTAAACCAAGTATCTTTAAGATCATCTATCAGTCCAACTTCTCTGAATTTAATGATTCTGGAAAGGAAAGACTGTTAAGTAATCTTTGAGATAGTTAATAACAGTTTCTTAAATAATAATGAGTATAATGTTAATTTATCCAATATTCACGCATAATCGAAATTCTTCCTGTAAGGATAATTCTTCTGAAATGCGAGTGTTACCCAGGTCACGTTGTATTTAACCGTAGCTCGAAGCTGGCAGTTTTTACTTAATGCCATATATCGATCGTCGCATTCAAATAACGCATATTTCTTCAAGTTGGAACAAATTTTTCTATGCATATTTTCAGCAATATCTATAAAACGAATACGCGCAGATGGATCGTTCCCAGCCAAGCTTCCATACCTAAACTAAATAATTAAATTAAATACCTAAATTTTATATAATAAATCATAAATATTTATACTTAAAAATATTTGTATTATTTGTCATAGATGTTTTAAATTATACAAGATAATTAAAAGTAATGTATTCTCAATATGATTTTTTCTTTACTTTATTTTTAAATTGCTTTTTTAAATTACGAAAGAAAACTTATTTTAATACAAAATATAAATCGACAAAATACTATACTTTTTTAATAGTTAATTAAAATATTCTTAATAGAAAAGAGATTCTCTTCTGTATATAAATAATCTTCGATATTTACATTAAAAGAATAGGCGAGGGGGCTGCCGCGATACATCAGTAAGATGTATTTTGTATTGTTAATAAGAGAATCTATATCTTTAAATGGCAGCATCTGCTCTCTATATGTCATCCGATATATGAGATGAGAACTAAAGGCTAACAGTGTTAGCCACGCAAATATACTCTTTGAGAATGTCAAGATCTTGAACTTGTTATAAAAAGTATTTGGTATGCAACCTATAAAAAGAGAATATTTTATTTTATCCTAACTCCAATCGTTAAATATTTAATTTCGATCGAAAAAATTTTCTTTTAATATTTTATATTCAGTACTAGCAAATTGTTAATTATTATTTTTACAAATGCGTTTTTGCTTAATTAATTTCTTTTTTAATTATATTATGCACCTCGTGCGCTCATTATGGTGAACGAATAGAAAAAATGATCGCCTAGACTGAAACCTACGAAGCCTTTTCTTTTATGTTTGAATTTGTCTATCGATACTTTCTGCAGAAAATAGCCAACACAACTTAAAATGATGAACAGAAATACTATATAAAACCATGTTTGCCATGAAAATAGCGTAAATACCCATGTATTATCATACAGCCATTCCGGATGAACATAAATGTGATACCTAAAAAACATCACTTTATTAATAACAACTGTTATATTCCAAATGAAAAGATTCCCGAATCATTTCTAATTTTTGCTAAAAGAAAGAAGATGGATGAATAATTTTTTATTTGTTATTATGCATATATTTTGATGGATTAGCTCACGTGCTTTGCCAGAGAGGCGTAGTATAGTCCACTATGTTCATACGAGTAAAATAAAATGTACTTCTCATGATTACTTGCGCTTCATTTCTCTCGAGAATGCCAAGCAAACCGTTATGACTACCATTTTCCAGCAATTTACCAAAATTTCGTTCGGTTGATTTTATTGGGATAAATCTGAAGAACGTAATACTTTGATTTACGCGTCAAAAATAAAAATTGGAATATATAAGTCATATGTAAGGAAAGAATAATAGAAGCTTCCAGGAGGAAAAAATTAAGACAACAAAAAGACGTAAAAAAAAGTGTTTAAGCTTTTTTTATATCTTATTTTTTAATTTTTGCTTCATAGAAGCTTTGTTGATTCTTCTGCCATTCTTCCCTTGCATTCGTCTTACATTCTAATTCTTATTTTTGCTCAAGTCAATAAATTACGTGCAATTACGTGCAATATAAACAAATGCACAACATAAAATTCCAAATATGTGTGCATTATTATAATACATAAAAAGTTTCATCAGTTATATCAAAAAGAAAATATTTACTGTAACGTTATTACATACGTAAAATTGAGATAATCTTGAAGAAGATACCACAGTTGGCCGAAAATACCATCAATTCTTGTATCATTGTCCTGAAACATTACCATATTCTTTTCCTGTAAATATAAGAAATTATCAGGCTCATTGCTTATTTGTTATAACAGTAAAGGAGAAAGTAATATGGCTTTCCATTTTTAAATGCTTTTTTGATCAATCAGAAGAAAGAATTTTTATTTTATAAATTGACCAATCAAAGAATACTTCAAAACATTTATAGCATAAAGTGGATTACACCTTTGCTTTGGTTTAATCAATATTTAAATTTAACAATTACATTCGTCATAGTGTTGTTCAATCGATTCTAAACAAAATTATGAAAAATTTATTACTTAGGATATTATTTGTAAAAAATGTGGCGACATATACTGTGTAATGACTCAAAGAAAAGAAGGGTAGAATTTCATAAAAAAAAAGATTTAAAAAATCATTTTAATTAAAAAAACACACTTATTTGCAGAATTAACAAAACAGTAAAACAAAATGTATGCAAAATATATCAAACGACACGGTAGCAGCACGACGGCTAAAACCTGTTAAAAGTCATTCAGGATCTTGACAACACATGTTAAGATCAAGGTGCAACAGCGAATTTCTGAATAAATAATTTTATAAGTATAAGTAATCACTGCGAAGATATGAAGAGAGGCCATTATATCTGCACTGATTTATAACTTCACCTTCTCTTATATTATAAAAGCTTAATAAATTGATACACATGACGAATTGTCAAAAATTCGCCATATAAACTTTTTGAAAAGTTTGCAAGATTTTGGAAAAAACTATATCAAACTCTTCAGAAAGTCATGTGTGGCACCTCGTAATACACAGCTTTCACCACTTCTCCCTTCATATCCAGCTTTTCCATTGCTCGTAGTTTGGCTAAATTTTCCTTTTGAAGAACTGCAAATTGAGGGATGCTAAACAATTGCACAAATTCTTGTCGTTGTTTATGCCAGATTATTCCGTTCACTGCATAGCAGTCCCAAATTAAAAGCTGTAAATTCGCGGCCATTAAAACAAATCGCGTAGCCATAGTTTACGAACTTCTATATATATAGTTGAACTAATTCCCTGTCGATAGTTCTATGTAGGATATACAGACAAGAAAGAATATATTAGAATGCAGTTTTCATTAGATACACACGTTGCAAAATGCGACTTATTTTTTTCTCTAATGGATCGATGTCGCTTATAATAGAGAAGCGTCACGATATTGTCGAAGATCGATATCATATAAATAGTCATTTTGATGAAATCAGTATAATCATATTCATCTAATTTGCTAATAATTCTGATCAGCTCAATAGCATTCAAACTATGATCAGATTTTTTAATTACTTCACCTGTGGATTAAAAAAATAACACTGAGTATATTATGTGTGTGTGTGGATTTGAATGTTTTAAAGACACGGTCTTTACAATCATCACAAATCATTTCACCAAGCGATTTGGCAAAGTTAATAGATCTTATAAAATTGAAAATGTTTGATTCAAAGTTACAAATTTTTTAAATTATTATAAGACCTAACTTTACGCCAAATTAAATATATACATATAAGGGAATTAATATTTTAATAATATTCATAAATAATTATATTTGTTTATATATATAATAATTCTGTTACAATTAGTACAGGAATGTGACTTACATTAGTAATATAAATATTATTCGTGACATAAATATAATAGTGTTCTGTTATAATCGAAAGTAGTCTCATAATGACTTGTGCTTATAAACATACACAATTTTTTCGATTATCAAAATAATAAAAGCTGTTATCATTCCGCAACATATTATTAAAATTATTAAAAAAACTTGATCTATTCCGATAGCTTCTTGTACAACAATATCATAATATCGAGGTTTATGGTTCACCCAACGATATGTTAACGCTTTCCACATTCCAACTTCTTTCAATCTGAGTATTCTGTGTACAAAAAAATTATCCGTTTATACTCACATAACATGTTAATATGATACAATCGTATCATAATTACTCTGGTAAAAATTTGTTTACAAATTTTTTTAATATAATTTACTGATTGGAATTTTCAGAAATAATGAATTAATGAGAAAGTCTACATTTTTTTCTAAAATTGTTTTTTATATGTATACATCCTAAAAAATTTTAAGATTTCTAAACATTTCTCATTTTATAATTCATAAAAATTTTAGAAAATCTTTAAAAAATTTTAAATATTAATAAATAAATTTCGCTCGTTTTTTTGCAATGCAAATTACAATAAATAACGGTCTATATCGAGCTAAATAGATTTAATATTGTTCTTAAATTGAAACATTTTTCCATATGGCATAACGGTTAAAAAATTTAGCACAATATATGATGTATTTAAATTTATGACGATTAATTCTGAACAAAACAATCATATTTTTATGAAAGTTATACAATCGAATTAACGGTATGCCATACCCAAATGCAACATTGTTTCCGCATATAATATGGTATTTAAACTATTAAAAGATTAAAATATTATATACATATAAGATAATATAAAAATTTTTTCACCAAAATGCTGTCAAATTTCTTTACCCAAGATCAATAGTCCTTTTGTATTTAAAGTTTTTCACAATGCCAGAAGCTACCCACATCTTCAAATAAGATTTTCCAACTGGGATCATATGACATCCAATTTCATGTCTTACTTTATGATCGTCTTCACCTTGGAATATGGTATACTTTCTATCTTCACATGCTAATTTAAACATTGTCTCAACTGTTGGTGCAATGATGAGGCGATTCGCAGTTTTTAGTCGTACAAAAATATCGACATTGCTTACCTATAAATTTTTTAAATAACCGTTATTTATACATTCATGTAATAAGTGTTCCATACAAAAAGTATAAAATTGACAATCCATTTAATGTAATTAGAAGATTAATAAATTATATCAATATGCATTAATTTAATATACACAAAATTAAATGATATTAATTACCTTAAACGCGATATCTGCAGTAGAACCTTTCAAAGAAACAATTTTATATTCGGTATTTGTCATTAAAGAGTCCAGATCTTTAAATGGAGCTATAATGTTAACTCTTTTTGCTATATACACGAATAACAAAGCTCCAAATGACATGTATAGTATAGAACAAAAGAGACCCAGTAATGTTTCTATAATCCTTGATCTTCCAAGAAGAATATCAGGAATGTGATCTATTGTAATTATTACTTTAATTATATATATATAAATCTTTGATAATGTATATGAATTAAATATGATTTTATTTAGATAAGAATTTTGCAATTTTATTAAGCACGTTATTTTTGTATAGCTTCAAAATAATACTAACTTTTCTTTTAATAATAATTATAATGCATGATATATACATATATGTGTGTGTGTGTGTATATATATATATATATATCTACAATTAAAAATCTTGTATCTAAATTACGTGATCTTTAAGATTGTACGAATTATTGCAAAAACATACGTAAAAGGATATCACACTGATTAATATCACAGTATATGATATTTTATTCCAGCAAACACGGATATAATTACATAGAAGAATATATATGTATTTGTTCGTAAGACGCCAAAGCTAATCAAATATTCTTGGAGTCTTATGATATCAACAAATCATTATTCGATATCTGCTGGATATAATTATAACAATATAACATATATATTACAAATCTTACATCTACAAGTAGGAAATAACAACGAACATGTATGTTACATATGCGGTTACATGTAACATATATTTGTTAGTTACATGTTATACAATAGTTATACATCTGTATTTGCTGGGATGGTATTTATACTTATCTATCTTTTAATTGAGCAATATTTAGATACAGTTAAAGAACAAGAACAGGATAAAACATTCACATTAATCATTCATACTTTGATTGCAGATCATTCCAAAGTTGTAAAAAACATGATCACCGAAGGTCGAGCGTTTGCAATTATTTTCGATCCGTGAATAAACAGTTTGCGACCAAAAACTACATACACTCATTAATAAAAGCGTAATTAATATAAGCCACCATATTTTCTGGGAAAACACTTCTGTCATCCATGTGCTATCATGTACTACTTCATGTTGAATATAGGCTCGTTGGCTGTAAAATTATTCTAAGATTATTATAACAAAATAATCTGGATATTTATTTATAGAAATAAATTCTATACACACACATATATTATAATTACAAGTACGTGTCTTGTTTCCAAAAATTATACTGTTCCTTCTTTATTCAATACTTTAGAAGATATATATCATCAGAGTACTTAAAATGAAAGTATTTATAATTTATAGTGAAACAAAGCACTTAACATACCTATTCATCCATAAAGGCATTGTAAAATCAGTAGCTGCAAGTCGAACATCATGCATTTCAACTTTGGGTATCGCGATAGTTTCATTGCGGAAAAGTATGCCTAATAATCCTGTATTAAAAACGGTTCGGTTTTTTTCTGATACACCTACGCTAATTTCATTTGATCTTATTGCCTGTAATCTAATATGCAGTATTCTTTGATTATAATTGTTTTCCGTTAGCTTCGTTAGCAATTAATCCCATACAAATAGACTGTGATTTGATTAAATTACAGTTCAATCTTACGTAAAATTCAATTTTTCAGAGAGAAGATTCCATAATTGACCACAAAGTCCTCTAACTTTCGTATCGTTATCATAAAATTCGAAAAAATGCGATTCCTAAAATATATAATCAAAGAAATTAATAAATTATATTATCCAGTTTTTGCAATCAATTAATATTTTTCAGTTTTCAATTATTTATTAAGTTATTTTAAATGGAAAAAATAATTCATTATTTAATTATTTAAAATCTTTTATCAAAATATAGAAAAAATGTTTTTCTCTCGTATAATTTTATTGTTATTATATGTTAAAAAAATACTATATTTTTTTGCTACTTAATTTACTACTACCTATATTAATACTATTAATTACTTAATTTTATTTTTTTTTATTTCTGTTACACTAAATTGAAATTACATGAAAATGTCAGAAAAATTAAATATTTTCAATGGACAATTCCAAATATATAAATTTTCTATAATGTAAAGATTTTCAAATAAAAGCTATTCATTAATAATTATCAAATATTAACAAATTAATTTTCACACTTTAAGAGGAGATATCATGGAGGATATGTATAATAAACTTACAATTAATCATTTGCATTTCATGAAGGCAATTACCTGGAAGGATGTTACAGTCAAATTCTGTAATTGGAAATTGTGGATTTCCAATGCTCGACTTTGTCTCAGACGTTCTTGTTGCATCATGGCAAATACTGGAACGCTGGAAATTGGAACAAAAGTTTTCTGTGTTTTGCTCCAGATCACGCCGTTCATCGTTTCAGAGACGATAGCGCGATGTTCAATGTAATCAAAATAACGTTCGTCTAACAAAAACACTTTGTAACGTGCTTTGTTGACTTACGCCGATGATGATATGTAATTTTGTTGCGCAGTATAATTACGGAAATTATGATTATCATAGCCTCGATCGTATTGTACGCAATGTAATGAAAAATATAACTGAACGATAGATAAATGAGATTAGCAGTGTCCTTGGAGAAAACAGAAATCGGAGGATAAGTCGAATGTAAGAGGAGAATAGCAGAAAGCTTAAACAAAGCTTCTGTTAACCCGGAAACCTATCAGAAATCATATATAATAAAATGGACGCTTTCCGATAGGTTGAAATCTCTTCTTATTCCCTATTCTTATTACCTGTGCTTTTCATTGTGTTTCTAGCTTTACTCTCCTCTTACACACACATTCGACTTACACTTCAATTTTTACTTTTAGTAAGGGTTTTATGTATTACTTTAGGATTTAGATAATTTCTTCTAAAATTCTTCTTTACGCGTAAGTCAATTTAATTTAAAGCAATTATCTTTATAGCTAAAAGAAAACGGATATTAATTGCATTAATCAATTCATCCATCAATAATTTATGCTTTAAGCAGAGCTTCATTTAACAATGAAGGTAAATATTTATTTTACAGTATGCAGAAATATGTAATGTGAATTAAATAAATCTGCATTGTAATAATTTTAACATAGAGATTTCCTGCGATATATTTTACTTACGTTATTCATACATGAGTAAATCGATTTTAGTCGTTATCAAGATTTACAGAATAAATATGTGCATGTCTTTTTCGAACTAAATTGCTCGATATACCTTGATAGCATGTCGATTTATCAAACGAAGTTAATGCGAATACTGATATGATCGAGGTCAAATTCATATACGTCATCAATTCACTATGAGTAAAACATGTAAATTAGTAATTGTAATTACATGTTATGGATATCTTTGAAATCTATTACAGATTATAAATAAAAAGATAATTTAAAGCTAACATGTACTGTTATTTAACATTTGAATCAGATGGAATAAATTGGATCGTTATTATATTGTGCCATAAAACATAAAGCTTTTTGGAATGGAAACAATTTAATAAATAATAATTAAATAAATAACTTTCATAACTTTATAGAACGCATGCGATATACGTATGTTTGTAGACAGTTAAATGTTAATTATACTGTTACAGTGATAAATGTGATTTATATAGATTACAAATAATGCATTTTCGCTTATAATATTAATATTATATATAAATATTTAAATTGCAAAACACACTGCATAAATTATAAACAAAGCAGAAAAAATCATTATTAAATATTTATTAATCATTTTTTATGAATTAATTAAAATGACTTATGCAAATTGCTAAATGCATAATGATAATGTAGAAAATAGATCGAATTTCGGGAAGCTCACTGCTCAACCCCGATGATATTGATCTTGATGTGTTGCCAAGATCATTACCCTAAGTAACTTCCAACAGGTTTTAGCCGTCACTCATTGTCCGTTAAAAAGTTATTAACAAAATAAATTTAAGAAATAACGTATCTTTTCCACTATTTAAAACGAAAATTCTGTTTTCAAAATAAAAATTTTCTTTGAAAACATTATTTTTTGTATATTTTTAAAATAGAAAATTTGTTTTTGGAGTAAAGAATTTGTGATTTTATAACTTAATATTTAAATCAGATGGAATAAATTGGATCATTATTGTGCCATAACATGAAGCTTTTTAGAATGGAAAGAATTCAAATTATCGTAATTTTAAAAAACGCATTTAATATACATGTATATATAGAGATAATAGCGAATTAAAGTTATTTTACTTCAAGTAAAATAAGATCCACCAAACATCCCTTTCTGCCTAAGGACACACAACTTCCACGCGAAGCGAATCGTATGTCCTGAGCCTGAGATACGAGGGAAAAGAAGGGGTGAAAATGGGTTCGCATGGAAAGTTATAAGATAATACTTATATTGTATATGTACAGCAGAAATCTGACGTTATTTTACAAACTTTTTGTATTAATATCTTTTTAACAAATAATGAGCGACGACTAAAATCTGTCGAAGGTTATTCAAAATTATGATCTTAACAACATACATATCAAGGTCAAATAAAAGAAGGCTTTTCTATATTGGATATAACTACCAATAACTTTTTGCAAATTATATAAAACATCTTCATTGTGGGTCATTTCTATTAATATATTTTTGAAATGTAGAAGGGAATAAGACCAAGCGTAATGTACGAAAAACATGAATTGTATATTTATATTTGACTGAATATATAAAGGTCTTAAATATGTATAATTCTTCGCTGGAGTTTACATAAATTAACTTAAACCTAAGTTTCTGTGACAAACCTTCGAGACGGTCGGGATTACAATACATATAAATTTCGATTCGGAGGTTCGTCAATTCTAAAAGTCTTGTTTAAATTAATAGCACTTTCGCGCACTCTCCAATTATTATCCGTCTAGTTAACGGACGTCGGAGTAAAAATCACCGGATGTGTGTTACGTCTTAAATCCAATCTTCCTTCTTTTTTTCTCCAACAAACGGAACACGCTCTTCATGTTTCTTTTTTCATTAATACAAAATTATAAAAAGTATAATACAGTCTCTCCCTTTAATTCTACGTTTCCATTCTCTCTAATCGTTCTGCGCTAATTTACTACCTCAATTTAAAATGGACATTAATTTCGCAAGATTCATCGTATGATGTTGCTCGATCCGATATCAAACAATAATGTTTTAGCGCTTGTTGTATTGTATATATATATATAAATTGTATATTATACGCTCCATATACGAGTAACATATAATTTATACACGAACGCTGATAAAATTTTCCATCCAACATTGCTGAGTGTTTGTGGGTATTAAATCTCAGTCGTTTGCGTCTTTGAAGTCAAAAAATATTAAAGAAAAAATAGTAAATATTAAAAAAATTTAGTGTAAATTCTCTTGCTAACGGTGATACAATTACGTTAACACATTAAGTAACTGTGAATATATTGACAATACGCGAATATATTGACATAGGAAAGCCATAAACAATATAGCAAATAAATTTATTCTTATTTTTCATTATATTATGATTTTTCACAGATAGAACGCAATCTGAATTCATATAGTACAATTGCAGCAATGAATTATTTTCAGCTAAAAGAGTGACTTCAAAGATTTACAGATAAAAGATACATATGATTATCATAAAAATGTACAAATTGAATATTTTTTTTTTATTAACAATCAATATTTGCTATCTCCGGGTTTTGGCATATGATGATTATAAAAATTGCTTTTTAGAAAACGTCTTAATATATATTCACAAAATACACACATACATTCACGCACACAATCATTTCTCTATCGCTCTTGTTTTTTATTTTCGCTTATTACAATATATATCCGATTGCCCACACATACGAATCTTTTTGAACAGTTCCGTAAAGATTATTTGAAAACATGATTCATAAGGGGTATGTTTTATATAGAGCATAACAATATATTCCATACATATTATACTCTTTGGACAGAGCATGCACATGATTAAACACTTGTTTTAATATAAGCTATCAACATTCGTTGATATTGTATTTTGTAAGAGAAAATTTATTTTTCTTCTTTGTGAAATAGAATTATTTCTCGCCCGTCTTATATATTTTATGAATAAACGTATAAATTATACATATATTTGCTAGTTTAATGCTTCAATGGATATCTATCTTTTAGTAAAAAATAAAAACACGTATTAAACATTTCGTTTTATTATGTCGCATTATTATAATCACAAATGGAATCATTATAGAGCATAACGTTCAGTTCTATATCCCATATATGTACGTATTAAATTAGATTATATTAAATTAAATATAAACATTACAGATATATATGTATATATATCATCCAAAATAAATGGTAATGTTATATATTATAAAATACGTGTATATTTATAACAATAAATAAATGCATATATATATTATATGGCAGTGATTAAGTATTGTAGCTACTCTTTGTGTCTATTTTGTGTGTTCGATACCAAATCCAAAAAAAAAATGTAATAGGTCGTAAGAGAAAACTATTTTATACGTTATCCAAAATAAGAGGCAATATAAAATAGGTGTATATTTGTAAAAATAAATAAATGTATGTATATGGCAATGATTAGTTAGCAGCTCTTTGTATCTCCCCTATTCGTTTATAATACTATCAAAAAAGAAGTATCCAATAGTATCGCAAAAATGACATACGTTTTCATTGACGCTGACAAATTATCACGACAAATATACGAGCAACGTACACATTCATGACAGCTTCTTTTCCTCTTTTTGATAAGAAAAAACTGGCAGTGCCTGTTTCGATGACAAACCTGAGTATATATATATATATATATATATATATATGTATTTATATATATATATATATATATTATAAGCCCCCGTTTTAAAAATAATATATTTAAAATATTCACACATGATCTTACGATGTATCTCCCCTATTCGTTTATAATACTATCAAAAAAGAAGTATCCAATAGTATCGCAAAAATGACATACGTTTTCATTGACGCTGACAAATTATCACGACAAATATACGAGCAACGTACACATTCATGACAGCTTCTTTTCCTCTTTTTGATAAGAAAAAACTGGCAGTGCCTGTTTCGATGACAAACCTGAGTATATATATATATATATATATATATATATATGTATTTATATATATATATAGTTATCAAATTTCAAATTCTTAAAGTTGAGAATGGTAAGGAGCTAATGTTTTCGTTGAAAATCAGAAGCTGCGTTTTATTTGATAAAAAATTAATCATTCGTGGTCGCGAATGAAGTCGTTCATTTTGATACCCTTGTTTCAGTCATAACTTTACTGGGATCTGGTAACCTGACAACTAATTGCGCACCGTTTTGCATCGGTCTTGAGCCGTTACTAGGCACGTTCGGCTTGGG